TTTAGATGGCCGGCAACGCACCTATGACTCCTCTGGTGTTTCGGGTGTCCATGGGCGGCTTTGATCGCTTACCATCAGGTGATCCGTCGGCTCGTTTACATACAATTCCATAAATAATGCTTGGTTAATTAAGCATAATATTGACATCCCTCCCCGAAGAGGTAGGCGGTATTACGTTACATTGCGGCACTTAATGCCACTGTAATAGGGGGTGAGCCTATTGCCATATACCGGGCACAATTCCAGACTCCGTGCTACTAATTAGTTTTTTTTTAAACCAAGTAATACTCGACCCGGGAATCAAACCCGAGACTACTTGCCCGGCAGTCGCACTTGCGACCACTCGGCCAATGAGGCAGCATCTATATTATATTTTAAACTAATTATGTAGGACGGTGGTAGTTATCTATGTAGGAAACCAGTGCTCAGGAAGTTAGTAGAAAATCCTTGACAATGGATGTCTCTATAAACACCTTGTCTTTTTACATGTATTCGATCCACCTAAAAAACAAAAAAAAAAACAAAAAGCATTTAATTAAACGAAACATCGCATTTAATAAAACGTAGTAACTCGAAGATTAAACAGTTGTATATTATTATACAGAAATGGCAATGAACTACGAAATTCATTAGTAAATAAATCACGCGATATTACGTTGTAATTACAATAATTATGTAAATAGAAATAAATAGTAATATAAAAAGAAATGACTAAATCAATATTAAATAATATATAAATGAATAATCATTAACAAACATTTCAATATTCATAATAATTTTTCTTTTTTGAAAAAAAATTTATAATATTTACATAATTAAATTTGTTATCAGCTATAATATTTACATAAGCTACAAATCGTATTTGACTACGTTTGTGGATGTAAATGTATCGAAAGTGATTGAATTAATTAATTCTACTTTCACCAACTAATGATTGTCATTATAATCAGGATGGTGACGAGTATAAAAACCTGACTGCGATTATTTCGTTTTGTTATTATTAACGAAATGTTGAATAACAAAAGGCAGAAGTTCGCGTATAGGCTGGCTGGGGAATTGACGTTCAAGCTTAAAATTTTGATAATTTATGATGAAGAGTATCCTAATCACCCCCATGTATGTTCTTCGTTTTTGCGTAGTTTTCGAGTTCGAGGAATCTTTCGTCGATCGTTTTTATTCTTCTCCTCTTATAATATCCTCTGATTTACTTCGTTGCGGGAACCAAGACAGTTTTACTCATGTCCCTTAGACGCGCCGGACTTCAATGTTCCGGTGTTTTCATAGTTGTATCTACTGTAGATCCTGGATTACAGGAGTTGCAGCGGTTTTGGGAGATTATGGCGAGCTTGCCATATTAAAAAAGTTTTCGATTGTAATTTTTTTACTGATTACTTTAGTAATTTTCGTCTAACATTCGTTTTTGATTTTTTTATGGGATAAGCCTACTGGCTTATGATCCTTCCACTCGTTTACTAACGAGCAGAAGGATCACCTGATAGAAACCAATTGGCGTCGCTCATAGACCGGTCATTTTGGGGATTAGGAATTAGACGATATTTGGGGATTCAAGGATTGGAAAAACTGGGGAGGGGGGAACGCAAGCGTCGCTTCTCATCAATTTTCTGTTAGGCCATGGTACCAATTATTACTCCGGTCGAGCCAGCCCATTCACGTCGAAGTATAGCTCTCCCACATTTACACACATCAATACATAGTATAAAACAAAGTCGCTTTCGCTGTATGTCCGTATGTATGCTTAGATCTTTAAAACTACGCAACGGATTTTGATGCGGTTTTTTTTAATAGATAGAGTGATTCTTAAGGAAGGTTTGTATGTATAATACATGCATATTGCACCCGTGCGAAGCCGGGGCGGGTCGCTAGTAAAGCATAAACGCTTGAAGCTCCTAGATCGATAAATAACCAAATACATCAATAGACAACAAAGGCCTATTTCCCCAGTAGGTCAGTGGTCCATGAAGCTCGTTCTGTGGTTCACCACAAAGGGATACACCTGTCATAGTCATAGTCTCGTTGTTGACAAGTACTTCTTGTAAACGTTTGGATGCTGTGGTTTTAGAAAAACGTGTAGATTTGTAGAAATTGTATGAACTTGTGAGAAATTTTAAGGTTTTGAGTGCAGAAGCGATGATATCTATAGTGGTTCATTCATCGTTCAGCCACAGAATGGTGTCTTCAAAGTGGGCAGAAGCTTTCTTAGATACTTAAGTTAATAATACATGTTATGATGGTTGATCGAAAGAGTGTTTTGTGCTGCAAAAATGTGTTGTTCGATTTAGTGATAATGAAATATGTAAATGCTAGTAGTGTTCTTTTTTAACTCGTCGAGTACCGGTTTTGTAGACACAATTATAGAACAATAGGTTGCGGTCACCGGTGACCGCTTGGTGTTTGACAGTTTAATAACGTTGCCCCATTTTAGGTCGGTCATAAATTCTATTACAAGTTTCGTTAATATTATTAACAACAGTGGTTAGCAGGCTCTTTTCTTTAGTTCTTTATATATTTCAACTAGGCTATACTAGTTAATCCTAACGCATATAGGAAGAACTAGTTTAGCCTAGGCAAAACTAGTTTGTCCTGAAATCGGGTTCGGCCGCTAACATAATACAAAAAACTTTTTTAATATTTCAAAAGTACCTGTTAAAATAAATGCTTATTAATTTGGACTTTGAGACCTTAACTTAACACCCACCTAAGTGCTAAAATAAATTCTACGTCACAAAACCCTCAAAAATATCGAATACATATAAACTTATCCATTACACATAACAACGATAACAAATCAAACAATAAACCTCAACAAACAACACGACAGACAAATAAATGACTCGTTATTACACTCGATTATATTGTAACGCATTGAATTTATTATTCTATACGCAGCCATCGTAACACGCGACGAGCGATAGTGTTTTGTAATGGGATATCCATGTGAGTATGGCGTGTGACTTCTGTTTTATAGTAAAGTATACAAACAAGCTTTTACTAGTGATATTTAATTGACTAAAACAAAGACGTTTACTTGTTTTGTTAGTGTTTTGAGAGCCATATCGTGCCATCTCTGTCATTTTACAAAGAATTTGTAGAGATAGAACTATACTTAAGCACGACTTAAAATTGAGTAGCGTTTCAGTATTCCGACAACAGGGTTTTTCTTCGAGCTATCGTTAATATTCATCATTAAATTCTTTGATTAGTGCAAAACTCATCAGATCCTTACCAGAAATCCACAAAAGATATTCTTAGTTCACTGATTCATTGTTATATTTGTCGATATTTCCACCCTAAGAATTAAAAACTTCTGCCTAAGAGTTCAGTCAAACTCAAAGCTAATGATTTTTTTATGGCATATACCGGTAAACGAGCAGATGAATCACCAGATGATAAGCAATCGGCGTCCACACGTGGAACACCAGAAGCGTTACAAGTGCGTTACCGGCCTTTTGGGGATTAGGAGTTTGAGGATTGTTGGGGATTCGGGGATTGGGTCGATTGGAAAGGGGTGAGGGAGCTGGCCTCCGGTAACCTCACTCACACGACGAAACACAACGCAAGCGTTGCTTCACGTCGGTTTTCTGTGAGTGTGGATTTCAGGATAAGAAGAGTATTTGCTATGCAGATTTTATCAGTGTCCATAGATTAAGTCTGATTTCATCAATAATAATCAAGTTACCAATTTAGACGACTTCCTGAATTATCTTGTCAAATTGTATTAACTTTTATGCGCATTCTTAATCACCCTATTCAAAGCGATGACGATGCATTTTTCTGTACCTAATTAAATTATAACTCCATTTTACGTCTGCACGGAACGGAGGTAAATCTCAAATCAAATTTATTCGCAAAAACATGTGTATACATACATACTCGTGAATTGACTGGTGAAGTTACTTACCTAGATGAAATTTAAACAGGCACTGTTTGAATACTACTACCACATGAGTAGACTACTTGAAAAAAGAAAGTTTACTACGAATTACTAAATTCAATTCATATTTTACTGGACTTTCTAGGATTTCGCACTATACCACAAAGAGCTGAAAATTACTCTCACTCTATGGTTTATATGAAATAAGGAATATTGTGTAGAAGACAAAGTAATTTAAAATGCCTAACGTTGAATTGCCATAACAATTACCATGTGATAACCAAAACAGCTTATATTAAGTGCAGAAAGAAGAGAAATATGTAAATTATTAATAGTTGTGTATTTGACTAGTAGCAGTTACGCAATAATGAATCATCTTTGTAAAGAAAGCAGTTATAAACACCACGATTAAAACGACTGTCCATATTTACAAAAACATTTTCTAATCTATTATTAAAATTCAATCAATTGCTATCACAATCAACACTACGTGACTCCGGAAGAGAGATTGATATTGTATCATAATTCATAAGAAATATCTGATGCCATTGTAGTTGCTAGGAAAAGTTCGATCGAGAAATGGGAAATGGTGAAACGTTATGGCAAATTACAACATGATACAATTTCCCCTACATTGTAATAATTGTCGGATAATAGTAGGTGAGTCTGTGTGTTTGTAAGATGTGAACTGTTTAAATGACAATAGTGATGAAGTTACGGCTAATGAGCTTATTGTTGAATTACTTCATCATGCTTTGTTTGTTTGTGATCGGTATGTGGACGAATATCAGTTACGGTATTATTTTTCTTCAGTTTCAGTTAAAAACTTAGGTCAAAGATTTTAGGGTTAAACCAATTGTTAATTTCGGCGGTTAATTTGTTTCTGTAGATACATTTTCGTTTGGTACGTTGTCTTCAGTTCTAGTGTTTTTCCATTTTAAAAATAGAATTAAAGGATTCTATAACTATCAGTTACGTTTATATACATACTTACTACTATTTGAAGAAAGGACTCCTCTTATAGTTTTCATTCAGTTTTAATTATTATGATAACTCTTCTCACAGCATTTACTTTAAAATCAATCTTCAACCAACGCTTTTGTTCCAGAATCTCCATTTGAAGAAATTACGGACGCTCTATATGACAAGAGTGTCAAGTTCCTGGTAACGCATGACATGAAGCTTACTCTTCCTGAGATGTTCTTCAAAGGAGCGACGTTGAGGGTGTCCCCCAGGGCGCTGACAAAGACTGGAGCTCTGGTACATATAGATCTGGAGCCACAGGAGAGCAATGGAGAGGGGAGGTTGTTTTTTAAGAAGATAAGTAAGTAACCAATACCAATAACATTATTCAACTTTTGGATAACTGTAGGTCTATTCTTAGTCATTTATGTTGCATGCGAGCATACAATAAAACAAATAGCAAAACACGCCCTAAGAATGAACAGTTGGATAAGTGTGTAAAAGTAAAATAAGTAGGTATATGAGAATTAGAACATTACTCATATCTAGACTAAAATAAATTTGACGTTAGATATAAAAGTTCTATTGTGAAATATCAAATTACAGAGCACTTATTTCCTTGTAATCCAGGTCGAAAATGTTGACCATATTGTAATTTCTAATGTTTGTTACAGAAAAGTATATAAAGAAGAAGCTAATTACAGCGGCCATAGCAATCATCTTAGTCATTAAACTGATTGCATTGAAATTAGTCTTCGTTTTACCTCTGATCATGGGAGTGACGACTGCAAAGAAAATGTTCCTCAAACTCCTGCTGTTCGTCTTCCCAGCTTTGAGTCATATCTTCAAGCTTTGCTCTTGGTACCACCAGAACTATCACACGACGAAGTATCACCATCATCATCACTTGATTACTCATCATCATAAGGTTTGTCTTTATCATTACTAAAATCTATACGTATTATTAGATGATTTTTGATATTGTCATTAACAAGATCTGGACTTGTCAAAATCCATACTGCGAATTTTGAAATTAAATATTTTTTTTTATTGGATAAGCCGGTAAACAAACAGATGGATCACCTGATGGTAAGCAATCGACGCCGCCCATAGACATTTGAAACATTATAGGCATTACTAGTGCATTACCGACCTTTTGGAAATTGGGAATTTGAGGACTGTGGGAGATTCGGGGGTTTAGGGAGACTGGGTAGGGGAGGGTAATTAGGCCTCCGGTAACCTAATTCAAATGACGAAAAAATTCGCAAACGTTGTTTCACGGCGGTTTTCTATGAGGCTGCGATATCACTCCGGTCGAGCCGACCCATTCGTGTCGAAGCATGGCTCTCCCACACTTAACTAGTCCGTCCCTTAACGTCTTAAGTTCCGTTTGTGTATGTCCACCTTAAGGCAATATTCAACAATCCTTTCTATTTTATCTATCCCGTTATGTATTCCAAAATTCGATTTCCGCACGGAACAACTCTTTGTGTGATCCACAGATTGTTGTTCCGGGTCTGGGTTTCATGTGTATGTGATATTGTATGTTTGTAAACGCACCCACGACACAGGAGAAAATCCTAGTGTGGGGCAACGTTTTTTTTTAAAAAACAAAAACAAACAAACAAAAATAAATTAATGTATTAGAAAAAAAATTTTGTTACCGTATGGTCACACTTTAACTAACATGTTAAAAAAGAAATGTCTCTTGAACTACTGTTGTACTGTGTACAATTAATGTAGCTTATGCCGCACTGTTGAACAATAATTGGGCTTGTCCATCAGATATTCAATGTGTGAAGCTAAATGCTTTAAAACTATAATCAACAATCATTATTCACTATTATCTAACTTATTACATGACTGCACATTGACATCAGCGAATCGATTTATTTCACGGAACATTGTCCATAATTTTTTGCCATGTCGTGCATCAACATAGTTTTTATCATTCCAATCAAAAATCGCGTGTTTCTCATCATGCTATCCATATTTATTTCACTTTGTATTGAAAGTAGTTTTTAAAATGTCCAAAAAGTCAATGAACGTTGCCTTTGCTTGTACTATAAAGTATTTATTATGCGTTGATGATTCCCACGATATCAGCGTGTGCTGTTGTCGTGTAGTCTTCTGTAAAATTACCTTACGTTTATCTATGAATAATATTATCTTGTATTGAGTGTTAATATTTAATTGCAGTTCATCAGTTCGTATAGAATTTCGTTTATGTAATGAGTAGTATAGATTTGTTGACAAAGTTTAAATAATTACGATTAAACATGACTATTTGGACTTGATCATTCTCTTCACTGAACATATTAATAGCAATGTGTAATATTCTCTCCATCTTCATCTTAACCACTATTACGATAAATAGACTCATCATTTTATAGATAATCATTACAATTTTTTTACCCACAGTAACTTAGTAGGTAATTTTAACACGGAACACGCAATTTTTAAACATCCGTAGCTTCTATGATTAGATACACGTAAATTTCAATGGACAAATTTTGTAATATTCCATTTAGAAGTACTTAAAAAATTCCTGTCAGAATTAATATACAAGTTATGAAGGAAAGAAAATACTATTAATTAAATATTCAACGTTCATTCATTAATTATTATTGTAAGAAATATACTAATTGAGTAATTGTGTTACAAATACAAAGGTACCTAAAAAAGAATGAGTGTAATCGTCGTTCTCAATTCAAATTCAAATTTTGGAATGTCGGAGCGCTTCGTTGTTTTTTTATTAAATTAGAATCCCTTTAACTCGTCGAGTACCGGTTTTGTAGACACAATTATAGAACAATAGGTTGCGGTCACCGGTGACCGCTTGGTGTTTGACAGTTTAATGTAGTATTAGGGCGCCTCGTACAGTTCGCTTTCAGAGGAGTTTCCTCCCACGGACCCACCGATTGTGAAGTGAACTTCTTGCCGAGATTTTACATTTAGTAAAATTACGGCTAGTATTTAGTAGGCAACATTATGAGTTTCTTGAAGAAGGCAGTAAAGGTTTTTGAAGGGTCGGCAAGGTGCATGACGTAATGCCTCAAGTGTACATAGGCCACGATAACCGCTTACCATCAGGTGGGCCTTGTGCTTTTTTTGTCAACGTCGTGGCATAAAATACTTTATTTGCATTAGTGAGCTACTTTTCCATATGCAGTAACTAATACCTTGGTTTTCATCATCTTTCTCTACTCTGGCAATATTTATATTCTCAGGGACCTCATCACCAGCCCTATGGTGGCCATGCATCGCATCCATCAACAATAGTGGTGCGACCTCACAGCGCTGGTCCACCTCCAGTCTCAGAACATTTCGAGAGCGAGAACTGGCCACTTTCCGGAGCTCCACTTGGCACTGAGTAAGTACTACGATAATAAGGATGATATAGTTAATGTAGAAGGTTCAAACTTACTAAGAGTTACAAACTTTAATTGGTTTTATTAATGTCTAATTGAGAAAAGATCGATTCTGATATATGTTCAAGTTTTGCTTTACAACAGCTTGAAATTTTCTACAGAAGTTATTCTTGTTAAGATTTATTTATCACGACATTTTTATACAATATATTTCAAATATTACCAAATGTTATATAACGTTATCGTTTTTACGAAAACATTTTAGCATTTTGATAAACATATTAATATTTAAAATCAATTAAATTTCACCTATTACTATACGTAGTTTTAATAATTATTAATAAATCTTTTTTTTCTTCCATATTTTATAGCATTTGGTAGCACCATCATTTATTACATGGGTAGAGAGAAAGCTTTAGATATCAGTGCCTTGGGAACTTCAGCCTAGAGTGTGTTTTAATTGACCATTAATCAATTACAAATTGAAGGTCATAATATTATGGCGTTAAGAAAATTAAGAATAACTATGAGTAGGCTGCAATTTCGAAGAATTATTGTGTACGAGAAATAAATAACTGAAGTTCTTTAATCATAATCATCATTGTATCAGCCAAACTACGTCCACAGCTGGACAGGGAACATGATTTTAAATACATTTGCTAGTAAGAAACTTATGTTGTTAATAAACTTAATCTTAAACAACTGACTATGACGCATTTCGCTTTCAATCTAAAATCATTAAATTGTTCGTCAATGTTTTCTTTGGTGATAAGAAAGAGCCGTAAGATCTTCTTTTAAAACATAAAAATGATTACATCGTTTCGCCTTATTTCCCTGAAGGGATAGGCAGTGGTGCACATTACGGCACCTAATGCCACTGTACAATGTAACACCCACTTTTCACTATTTATGTTATGAGTCATATAATGGGAGTGAGAGTATTGCCACACACCAGGCACATTTCCAGACTCCGTGCTACTCTGAGGTTTTTTTTTAAAACCCAGTAGTACTTTGCCCGATCCAGTGAGGCAGTCATAAAAATAAGTCAATAGGTACTAATATTTGATAATCCGTTCCAGCTACATCATTGGTGATATCCATCGAAACGCGATATCAAACTTCAAACCGACACTGAATGACGCTAACGACATAAACGCATGGGGACTTGGCATGCCACCAGGTAAGTCAATCAAAGTTATAAAATATACTCTATACTCAAAAACAAAACTTGAGGAATCACATAGTCAGACAAAACGCGTGGATCATGTAAAAGCAATCTATCTACTGATAAAAATCTAGAAGGACTGGATAGAAATTCGATAAATCTGGTTAAAATTTTATTTTTTGCCCTCAGGACCATCGAATGTGGGTGAGATCGCAGCGAGTAACAACATAGCACAAACTGTGGCAGCATCAGCTTCTGTACCTCAAAGAGTAGTCGTTGCTAATACCGGGAGGTAAGAGTTGTCATTGAACTAACCATATAATGCAAGAGATAAAAATTAGCTTAGTATGTACAGCCTAAGCCCAAAAAAGTTAAAGTTACATTGTCCTCTTTTAGCAACGGGGGCTTTGTCCTTTTTTAGCTTTTTTTTTTCTTTTAGAGAACTGGTTACTCTTTTAGCAAGCCGAGGGGCTTAGGGGCTTTCCTGACTATCACAACCATAATTAAAAAACAGCCAGATCGGTCTCGCCGTTCTCAAGTTATGGCGTGACAACGGGAAAGGGGTTGAATTTTTATTTAATTAAATAGATAGATAACAAATAGCCTTTATCAAAATGTTGTGATTTGTGGAAAGTAGAATAAAGATCTGATATACATACATAGCTATTTTGCTCGACGACCCAGATAATGTTATGAGTCAGAACACAGAAACGTCTGACCCAAATATGCTAAAAAGGGAAATAGCTTTAGATGTTTTTAAGGTAACCATAACGAATACTTCTATGGCAGAACATCCTACACTAAACATGATTTTAGATGAAGATAATAACAAATATAGTTTTGGTGATCATAAAGAGGATACTTACGGTGAATATAAAGATAATTTAGTGCAAAATTATAATAATATATGCATTACTTCGGGACATGAACGAAAATGAAATTAGGATAAGTCAAATATGGTTATTACTCAAATTGGACAGCTGTTTTCTATGAATCCTGATGTTACTCACAAAGTTGAGATGAAAGTTTACTTTTATCTCACGTTGAAATCATCTCGAAATGGTCGGCACTTCGTGTTTTATTTTCTTTCATATCATTTCTCCCAATCCATGAGTATTTTGATAGTCCTAATTTATCCATTCGTATTTAAACATTCACATGTAATTTATACACGAATGAACATCCTCTCCTTTTTGAATCAAGTCAACTCTTTCATCTTCTTCATTCATCATTATATTATTTAACACTTGGGAAACAAGCAGCAAGTACAATTTGATTCAAAAAAGAAATAAGTCAAAGAAAAATTGTGTTTCAACAATTGAATGGCGGTAATTAATTTAATTTTCTTTTAATTTTCAGACCTGTGGGACCGCCTAATCCGTACTATCGAGCAAATAAAAAAGTAACGCAGAAAGATCCGCTTCTAGCTGAAAAGGAGGCATTAGTAAGTTATTTTTTTAAAAACAGAGCACCTACAACAATTTACCTACCACTTCTACTCTTCTCGTGGGTTCCGAAAGAGCGGGCTGCAGAGTAAACCTGATCTTTTCCTAGTTAGCCACTCACTATTTTTATCCTCATTACCATACCTACTTTTGATCACAATATCAGAGCTACCAAAGCTACCAGCCCATCAAATCACTTGTATCATCCAATCTATACCGGCTTGATGCAACAGGTTCTTTTATTTAACATTCTAGGTCATCACAGTCGATACCTGTTCCAATGTATACCACCCATAATTTTATACCTTCAAGCATTAACGTTGATTGGTTCTGTAGCAGTATTTGATCTCATGATAAACTTGTGATATGAAATGAGCCTAGCGGTCACCAGGCAATTCTCTATGAAATCCTTTATTCAATTTATGGTCAATATTTTTTATAGCGCTGTTTTATAAAAAGTATTGGCAAAATACAGACGCATTATGAATCAGGTTGGGAGCCACCCGCCACCACCTAATGGGATCTCTCTAAATCACTTGATAAGCGTAAAGATGGTGGCAAATACTCATTATAATGTTGAGGAAGCATAATCCGACAATGAGTTACCACAGGCGGTGATATTGTTGTTGACTGATCACAATCTCATTAGTACTAAAGGCCTCTGATTAATTTATTTTGTACTACCTACCTACTTGATTATTTTATGTTATGAAAGCGATATAGATTCCTACGGTGCAGTAGTCCGCCCTATCATTAATTTTTGGTCAAAGTATACGTAGAAAGTGTATGTTTAAATCATTAGGGCAAAAATATTGATTAAGTAATAAAAACACGTGGTGAATAATTATCATGGAGTAGAAATACCTTGCTTTCTAATCCCATAAGTGGTAATAGAGACACCTTGTGAATTTATATTACTGAATTTATTATATTTAATGTGTTTTCTATTCTTTAGCGGTAAGTACCGCTCAAGTACCTAGTTCAAGGAGTCTTCTAGAACAAACGACGAAGTGTTTATTTGTAATCGGATTCATTTGGATTGGGCACGGGTGCTATTCTTCCAACAATTTTTGAAATGTTTTCGTTTTATATTGCAATTATCGTAGTCCAAACATTTGGCCGATAAACCCTCTTAACCATAGCTATACGATCCTCAATATTGTTGTCCTATTAATTATGCTTGCTTAGGTTATTAGTGTTTACTTCACACATGGTTTTATTCAACAATGAAGTGATTTACATGATTTATTTTTTAATTTCCAGATTCGAGCAGCATCAATAGCGGCTCGAGCACCTCCTTCTCCGGTCAGGGATGAGATACTAAGGGTATCTGCAGTCAAACTGAAGGAGACTAACAGAATAAAGGCAGAAACGGAACTGGTGAAACAACAGCAGCAGATATTGGCTGCACAGGATCCAGTAAGTGAATAATGGATTTTATGAACACTGACTTTTCGGATCTTCAGACAACCTAAAGGTTAACTGGGGCGCCAGCTCATAGCTGAAGTAGGAATGGTTTTAATTCAGTAAGAGTAACACTATCTCGTCTCACCCATGGCGGGAGAAGTCATTAGATGATGTTCCCCCCTCAAAAAAGGAGGTTCGAATTCTTAGGGCTACTGTGTGACTCGTTATAATTTTTTAATCCTTATGTGACTTACTATATTTGAAAGCTTTCATTACAATATTTGTTTATGTATTTCGTTTTATACTTCAAAGCACTTCGCGGGAGACACTATTTGCACTTCAACTCTGTTCTGAGTATTGAAAGTTATTATGAATGTTTATAAGAGAAAGCCTTTCATCATTGCATTCTAAAATTCGCATATACACTTACTGTCTCCCATTATTATGCAAAGAGCATACTAAACTCCATTTGAAATAAATATCTAAACTTTTGACAATTATAATTTCATTATTATTGTGCTACTAAAGCCATGATGCTATTGAGGGTCATGGCAACTATGATGATATACGTCTACAATTTTTAGCAATTTTGATGGATTTACTTTAGAAAGATTGTTAAGACTATTTTCTCGTCGTTTAGTACGTTTAAATCTGATCTACGTACGAATAATGTTTTATACTTGACTTTCAGGAAACGATAGCCGCAGAGAAGTTCTACGGAGCACTGGTGGGTTATGTGGACGCACTGCTAGGCCAGATGGGTGCTACCGACCTTGGCTGCAGGGAGAGAGCTGTGTGTTCCCTTTACGGTGACCCCTTCAAGCATACGCCGTACAGTAACCTCGTTTCTGGACATCTCAGCAAGTGAGTATAATTATTCTAAAACAATTTCGGCCTAGTGTGAACTATCAAAATTGACGATATTAATTTTATCACACAAGACATTGAGGAGTGTAATTTTTCAAGAAGACAATTATATATTTTGACGCTAAGCATCTCTATGAAATAAAGTTCTAAAGATCCAGAGTATAATATTTCTTTGGTCATCTCTAATAATAAAAATCATTACGTATTAAACTATAACTTATCGGTATGAAAAATAACATACTGTGTTATGTTTAGCGTGATTAGACTGTTTAGACATCATACCTTTTATCCCCGAAGGGGTAGGCCACTATACAGTGGAACACCCACTTTTCACTATTCATGTTATGGGTTCCATGTACTAGGAGGTGATTCTATTGCCATAATATACTGGGCATAATTCCAGACTCCGTGCCACTACTGATAATTTTAGAAGAAAAAATTAACCCAGTAATACTTTACCCGACCCGGATATCGAGACCCCTTGCCCGGCAGTTGCACTTACACTCGGCTAACGAAGCAGTCACAGGCTGTCTTACTAAAGTGTCAACAAACATTTCAGAAAATAAGTCCAATACCATCACTCATTTCAATATTTGTCCTCCATATTCACATTCCATATAATTATATCAAGCAGCTGCTCCATCAATATTGTCCCCCATTTGCTCACGACTGTTCCACTGTGCGCATAAACACAGTATTTGTGCAAAATGACAGTAATCGACGCGGCACGTGTCATTACCATCCGTCATTCGTCATGGTTCATGACTATTACGAGGTGTAATGCATTACTGATCGTCAGGAAGTCTTTGAAGCGAACGATTTTCGAGAATATATCTATTTACTTAACAATAATAATCAAAGAAATAATGTTGTTAAAATATTTTTGGTTGTCTTTTACCAAACTAAAATAACTTGAGGTTTAATTTCCCAAAGCGACATGTGTGTACTTAGGGATTTGTATTATACGTATCATCATCATCATCATCATCATTTCAGCCAAAAGACGTCCACTGCTGAACATAGGCCTCCCCAATGACTTCCAGATAGAAATATACGTATCATACATTGCCTGCACACCACAACAGTGACTGCACAGTTGGTGCGGTGGCTGGGCAACCGGGTGCCGTGCAACGTGTCGCGGGTTCGATTCCCGCACGGAACAACACTTTGTGTGATCCACAAATTGTTGTTTCGGGTCTGGGTGTGATGTGTATGTGAACTTGTATGTTTGTAAAGGTACCCACGACACAGAAGAAAATCCTAAAGTGGGGCAACGTTTAAAAAAAAAAAACACCTAAAATGGTAATTGTGAAAATGAATCTTAAATTCATTTGTTTCAATTCTATTCCGCAGTCATAGTTTGCTTTATAAAAAGTATTCATATAATATCTCTCACTGAGTTCATTCATGATTGTTACTCATAAAAAGTGAAGCCTTATTACCGTTTAAACATCGGTAAAGATTTGATAACGTACATAGATATTAACCTAATTCTGTATTCTTAAATACATTATTTTGTGATTATAGTTAGACCTTGAAATTGAATCCAAATGATTTAGGATTCAAAATTATGCCTTAAATGAGTTCCTCCTCGTTCCTCCATAAGCTTAAAATTAAAGTTATCAAATGTTCAGTGAAGAACAAAAATAGATAAAGGTTGACTTCTGGCCGTTAATTTTAATCACTTTTAAGACATCTCTTAAATAAGAGTTACTATAACTTTGAATATTTCACAATGTAACACCCACTTTTCACTATTTATGTTATGAGTCCCATGTAATAGCGGGTGAGCCTATTGCCATATACCGAGCACAATTTCAGACTTCGTGCTACTACTGAGAATTTTTTTAAAACCCAGTGATAATTTGCCCGACCCGGTATTCAAACCCGAGACCCCTTGCCCGGCAGTCACACTTGCGACCACTCGGCCAACGAGGCAGTCCAAATATTCACTTGCTAAATTAAAGTTCCAAATATCTCTCAAAAGATATTCCCTTGCTTCATTAAATCAAGTTATTTTTTTTTCTTGTTTAACATAGTTATATTGACATACGCTGTTTCACCGATCCATTGCCCCAATTCTTATACAAATCGATTCTGGAAAATTTTACTGCCTTTCAAACGCTTTCATTTTTTGCCTCAACCTTTTTAAGTGTATAATTTTAACATTTAGAATCAACCGGTTTGAGTCCGGAGTAGCGGTAGGCATAAATATTGATAGAAGGTATAAGGTGTTCCCAAAGTATTATTGATTTAAACAGTTTCATCACCCATGTCATTTGTGATTAATAATTACATAGTAAATCTACATTAATCATTCGTTTGACCATAGTTAATTTATATGTTCAAATTGTTAATGAGAAGTGAAAATTAAAAATATTGACCTGGAGAAAATAATAATTAATTTAAGATTGCTTTCTTGGAGACTATATTAAGTAGATAGATTATCTCATTTCGATTTGAAATATCGTTTCATAATTTAAAAAGAAAATCTTTAGGTAATTGTTTTTCTAAATTCTTAATGTTACCTGCTACCTGTTTGTTACCTTACAGCTAACAGCTTCACTTTAATTTTTTATTGACGTTCAAAGGTACCTTCGGTCTAATTGAAATAAATGATTTTGACTTCACTTTAGACTTTAATCCTATATTTTACTATTTTAATCGAATTTTATTTAAAAAAAAGACAATTTTCTTTAAGGATTATTATTTAACTCGTCGAGTACCGGTTTTGTAGACACAATTATAGAACAATAGGTTGCGGTCACCGGTGACCGCTTGCTATTTGACAGTTTAAATCAGTTTTTAAAAGAAAAAATACGATAACTACGTATCAACATCTTACAGCTTGTCTAATTTTTGTTACATTGCCAATATTTATTACTTAATAATAATTATACTTATTACTTTTTTTCAGGGACTCCAATGAGCTTGTACCAGCGGGAGACAGCATGATGGCCATTAACTACTACAGATACGTACAGGCAGCCCGTGATGGACAGGAACAGAAGGACTGTCTCATATCATATCCAAACTGCGACATAGACTTCAATAAAAATAGAAAATGAATTAATTAAAAATGAATTAATTATTTAATCAAAATTATTACATTAATTAAAACGTGTAAAAATAATTAATTCACTTGACTTGACATTAATCTAATTCATGGATTGAATGAGATCAATGCACAAGAAGTTAAAGTTAATCAATGAATTTACTTTGTTTCGTTTGTTGAATGAAACAAAAAAATACAACATTTTATTTCCATGACATGATAAATAAATATTAAAAAAAAAAATGTCAATGTCAATCAAAATAACAAGAAAAATGTACATAGTACATACATAGTTGTTAACAAAAAAGAAAATCACACATGAAGCTATTCTTTTTTCACAATGTCAAAAGGTGCTAAATTTTATTTATTTTTTGTATTTTTAATTAGATAGACATAAAATCTAAATTATTGTAATTATAAATGAGCCATGTTTTCTATTTATATCTTAGTTATATATATTTCGTAAAACTTCGATGTAGATTGGAATCTACAGAACACTAGATCAATGTTTATTTTACTCAAAAATATCTTCTGTCTCACACTGTTACTTTTATGTAGTAAAGGATAGAAGACAGTTTGGGTACATAAGTATTAGATGCCTGTCTTCACCAACCTTCCTTAAACTGTCAAACACCAAGCGGTCACCGGTGACCGCAACCTATTGTTCTATAATTGTGTCTATAATGACGGTGCTCGACGAGTTAATTTGTAAGATACCCAAGGAGTGTAATTCTTTGCAAGAGTCTGTATTTTCTGAAGGGTATACCTGGGTATCTTCAAGGCCCGAGTGAATAGGTTGCTTATGGGTCGACGTGCTCCATTGTAGGCCAAACGACGGGCCATTAAAAAAGATCCCTGAGTTAATATAGGTATCAGTTAATGACATTTAGGGTTTCACCAACTTTTAAGTGACACCTATAAAGGTAAAAATAAGGGAGTTAGTCTACGCGTTTTGTCAACCTAAGTAACTCTTAGCTAAGAGATTGTTAAGGGGTGGTTGGTGGTAACGGCCATAAGTCTTCTGTAATGTAGGTACGAAGGCATTTAGTGCATTTAATTTAATTCCTACATTTTGCATTTACTATGGAGTATAGTTCTGACAGCTACGTCCAAAACATAGGTTTAGTAGCCACATGTTATTTATTCTTAATATTAAGTACTAACTAACTGTAGACTGGCTTTGATTCGATTCATAATACTTTTAAAAAACCTTAAAATAAGGTTTAATTTACTTTAAAAAATATTTTTATTAAAAAGCTAATATAAATTTCATAAAATTAACGTAACAAATGTTGTTAATTATAATTACATTGTGTAAATGTAAGTAATTTAACTAAATGAGTCACTCGGAGTCAGTCAGGTGAATCATTAATTTATTATTATAGATGTAGTACCACCAAGTCACTAGGACATTAGTATTTATTTATTATTTTTAAATTAAACGAAAAAATTGCTCAATAAATTTCTTTTAATTTAATTTGAATTAACGTTAAATTATTTTCTTACGATTATTGAATGTTATATTTATATTTTCTGTTAAATATACGATAATAATTTATTTTGTATTTTATTATAATAATAAAAAATGTAATTAGGTTTTTTGCTACGTACCTAATTAAAATCCTAGCACTGATCATACTGATACACTGCACATTATCAAAGTTAACGAACTATACCTAAGTACTGCAGCATGGGCCGCACTTTTGAATTATTTGACGTCAAATAATTGGCGATTTATACAAAAATTCACCTAAGTACCTACATATAATGAGAAGATTATTATTCTTTATGCAAGACAACTTATTAAACAAGTTATTTAGACCTTGATTTAATGCAGTAGGATATTTTTTAATAATACCTAATATATATTTTTTATTTGTGCAACAGTGATATGTTCACAATGTTGACACAAACTTGACATTAGATACAAAATCAATAGAAAATTAAAAGAAGAACGAAATAAAAATAACGATTTAATTTTGCTTCATAAATTTACATTAACACATACAATTAAACAATTAAAAACAATAAAACCAATAATAAATTCGTCATCATTAAAATTTATTTTATTAAACATTTATCAATATTTTTTATTATTATTTTTTATTCTAAAACTCGACCACGCTTTTCTTTCTATCAAATAATAATGTTTCATTTTCTTCTCACTATGCGTACCGGCGCTGTGGTCGTTTTTAGTACCATATCGACTTTGAACCTCATGTCATTTACATTAGATATTAATTTATATTTCCGTAAGAGATGAGAGAGAGTCGTCTTCATTGAAACCGTTGCGTAAGCTTTTCCTATAAGGAATGAAATGAATTTTCTATTAAACATGTCATACTTTTTTAATTTTCAAACAATTAGCAGAATAGAGAGAGAAATAAAATGCCTCGTTGGCCGAGTGGTCGCAAGTGCTAGT